CTATCTCAAAAGTGAATAATAGAACTGTGGTAAAATACATATAACATAAAACCATCGTAACCATTTTTAGGTGTGCAGTTTAATGGCATTGGGTACCTTCACATTGTTGTGCAATCTGTCCTCATGTCTCTTATCTTCCCAGATGGAAACTCTGCCCATTAAGCAAGAACTCTATTTCTTCCTCCCCATGGGCACCACTATTCTACTTTCCGTCTCAATAAATTTGACTGCGCCAGGTAGTCAGAGAAGAGGGATCATACAGAATTTGTCCTTTTGTGTTTGACTTATTTCACTCATCATAATGTCCCCAAGGTTCGTCCATGTTGTAGCTAATGCCAGAATAGTCCCCCCCCTTTTTTTTTTGAGAAGAGTCTCACTCTGTCGCCAGGTACCAGGCTGGAGTGCAGTGGCATGATCTCGGCTCACTGCAACCTCTGCCTCCCGGGTTCAAGCAATTCTCCTGCCTCAGCCTCCCTCTGAGTAGCTGGGACTACAGGCATGCACCATTATGTCCAGCTAATTTTTTTTTTGTATTTTTAGTAGAGATGGGGTTTCACCATATTGGCCAGAATGGTCTTGATCTCTTGACCTTGTGATCCACCCGCCTCGGCCTCCCAAAGTGCTGGGATTACAGGCGTGAGCCACCGTGCCCGGCCAGAATTTTCCCTCCTTTTAAGGTTGATAATATTCCACTGCACGAACATACCACATCTTGTCTAGCCATTCATCTACGGATGGACACTCGTTTTGCTTTTGCATTTCAGCTATTGTGAATCAGGCTGCCATGAACATGGGTGGGCAGATATTTTCTTTTCTTTTTTTTTCTGTGACCTGCCTTGGAAAGATATTTTCTTTTTTTTTTTTTTTTTTTTTTTTTGAGACGGAGTTTCACTCATGTTACCCAGGCTGGAGTGCAATGGCGTGATCTCGGCTCACCGCAACCTCCGCCTCCTGGGTTCAGGCAATTCTCCTGCCTCAGCCTCCTGAGTAGCTAGGATTACAGGCACGCACCACCCTGCCCAGCTAATGTTTTTTGTATTTTTAGTAGAGACGGGGTTTCACCATTTTGACTAGGATGGTCTCGATCTCTTGACCTCGTGATCCACCCGCCTCGGCCTCCCAAAGTGCTGGGATTACAGGCTTGAGCCACCGCGCCCGGCCTAGGAAAGATATTTTCTTAAGACTGTATTTTCAATTCTATCTACCTAGAAGTGGGATTACTAGATCATATGGTAATTCTATTCCTAATTATTTTCAAGAAACTTAATACTTTTTCATAGAAGCTGCACCATTTTACATCCCACGAACAGTGCACAGTTTCCAATTTCTCCACGTTCTCGCCAAAATTTGTTATTTTCTGTTTTTTAGTAGTAGATATTCTAATGGCTAAGAGGTGGCATGTCACCTCTTTGAGACTCAGTTTCTCATCTGTCCCACAGGGACACAGTAGGGCTAGATTATCTCCAGCTTCTGATGTTTCATGGTGCCTTCCTTCCTGCCATGAAAGTAAGTACTGCTTATGCACATATACAGCTTGGTAAATTTAGTTATATCTTTTCAGGTTGGGGCCCCAAGGTAGAAACTATTTTAATATGAACACAGGAAACAAGAAATATGAAAATCCTGGGCCACAGAGAGTCCTGCGAACAGAACAATGTTTTACTTTTTCTTCTCCTCCTCTTCTTTGCTTTTTTGCTTGTAACTCACACACCCAAGTG